TTAGTTGTTGCCTTGGATATTTTAACATGCACACTTCACTAACTGAAATCTAAATTTACCCAGTATCTTTAACTTCCTCCCAAACTATGCAGGAACTTTCTAAGATACTAACTCTATTTACTTCTCCAATTCATGCCATTTATTTTACCTAGTTCCCACTGAAGGCACTATTATTTTATACAGTCAGTATATGCCTTAACTTACCATTTTTTCCCTTTCTCTGCTCTTCATCACTTCTTGTTTCTACGGAGAATACTTTTCCTCTGTCTGAAGCGTACCCTTTAAGTGACGATCATCTAGAACAAACTCTAGGTTTCTGCGAGCCTGCAAGTCTCTGCATTCATTTTTTAAAGATGTTGTTAATGGAAATAAATTTACAAACTGACAGTTAATTTCTATCAGTGCAAGAAAGATAATATTTGATTGTCTTCCAGCTTCTGCTGTTGCATTATCAGGATAATCTATCATATCTTTAAAGATAAACTACCTCTTCTTTCTAGCCATGCTTAAGATCTTCTCTTTTATATTTTACAATTTAGTTTTATACAATTTCATATGACTTCATGAAATATGGGTAGTGATGTTTTTTCTTGGTCCTTGAAATTTCTCAGGCATCTCCTCTTTAAATGGTGTCTCCCCTCATTTTTCTCCTCTCTTTCTGAAACTATAACCCTTGATGCTGCCTGAGTGGCTTAGTTGAGGGTCTGACAATGACTCAGTTCATGAATTCAGTTTTGGATTAGAGCACTGTGTCAGGCTCTGTGCTGACAGCTCAGAGCCTGGAGCCTGCTTCAATTACTGTGGCTCCCTCTATCTGTCCCTCCCCTGCTCACGTGTTCTCTCTCTCTCTCTCTCTCTCTCTCTCAAAAATAAATAAACATTTAAAAAAATTAAATAAATTATAACTAAACTTAGGTTGGATCTAAATTCTCCAACGTCACACTGATTAACCCTTCTTTTGGGTTTTTCATCACTTGCCTCTCTGTATTCCATTGAAAATTTTCTTCTGACAGATCCTTCATTGACTATTTCCCTATTTGGCTTGGATTCATCAGTCGTGAAATCCATTCACTGAGTTCTGATTTTCCATCATTCTATCTTTATTTTTTCAAGTTTCATATCTGGTTCTTTTTCAAAGCAGATTGGTTTAGTCTTTACAGTTTCTTGTTCTCAGCTCACATCTTGTTTTTAGTCTTTTTTTTATTTTTTAGTATTAAATGCTTATTTTCCTTCTAATTGTATTGGTGGGGATTACCTGAAGTCTAGGACAAAAATAGATTCCTCCAAAAGAAAGGGGAAAATTGGCTTCTGCACACTATGAGGGACAAATCCAATGTAGGAACTTTTTCTTTGTTTTTACTAGGCTCCACACCCAACATGGGGCTTGAACTCACAACCTTGAGATTAAGAGTTCCATACTCTACCAACTGAGCCAGCCAGATGCCCCATAGAAACCCTTTAAATCAAATTTTCATCTTGAGGTTTTTCTGACCACCTAGTTATTGTGATTCTAGATGTGCATATGTATTAAAGCTGGTTTAGTTGCACAAATTCTGAGCACCAAATATCAAGCATTTGTTCAGAACCATGATTTTCCATAGGTGATTTTTCTTACAGTCTTAGTTTGAAAGAGAGATGAGTTTTTCTTTTTATTCTAATTCACCCTTATATTGAGGGAGAAGCCTTCTCAAGTCCCAGCTTTAAAACCAAAGATTCCGGCTTAGATGTCTGCTGTCCCTTGTGCCCTCAGGACCATGAAAATAGTCACAAAGTTAACAAGTTAAACTGGTTTAGCAAATGTCTTCAAGGAAAAAACTAGCTTCATTGCAATAGACTGCTCTTCACTTAGCTTTTGTCCTGAATAGTCATTACATTCATACTGCTTCATTGCATCTAAAATACCACTTTATCCAGCATCTTTAAATTATTTCAGCCAGAATGTTGGTAAACTATATTACAGGAACAGAATTCAACCTTGGAAATGCACACTTAAAGCCACAGAGCCTTTCAGTTTGAAAGCGAAATCAGGATCTGATCTAGCATAAAAATGTATTAGTTGAGTGTCTGTCACTTTGTAACAACTGCTGATATTTTAAAACTTCCTATATGCCAGGTGTTGTGGTAAATGTTTTGTAAATATTATTTTATTTAATCCTTACAATGATTCTAAGGGCTAGGAATCCATATTATCTTTATTTTACAGAAGTATGAAGGTGTTAAGTAATTACCTAAGGTCCACCGCTGTCAAGTGACAACACTAGAATTTACACTCAGAAAAACCTAACTCCAAAGAATGCACTTATTTTTAAAGGTTGCACTCTTAAGATCCATGTAACTTGCTTCTCAATAAATAACCTATGAGAAGGAAAGAGGGAAAGACAAAGAGAGCTAGCATGTACTACTGGATATGACAGAGTACTAATGAAATCCAGACTCTGCCATTTACAATCCTTTCCACTTCCCTGTGCTCAAGTCAGCATTGGCATATTTCCATCAGTTTTTATATATTCTTGCATTTTAAAAAAGCCGGCACAAAGTGCTGATTAGAAATGAAGACTGCATCAATAAAACAATACCTCAAGGAATGACTAATAACTATATTTCAACTCTCAGTGGCCATTAATCTTGCACTCTAGCCCAATATTAACACCTCTGATTACATTCGAAGACTTTTCCTGGTGACAACTCTAACAGCAGATTTTTTTTTTTTACAATTCTTATTTTATCTACTATGTGTAGGTCTACCATCCAAAAAATTTTGATTCATACTAATAGTCTCTAAACCAGAAATTTCCAAACTTTAAATATTGAAAATGAATTTCAGAATAGTTCCGCCCCCAATTCCTTCATATATAAGGATGTCCAATATCTAATTTCTATAGAGCCATTCCCAGAGAAGGGCAGATCTCCCAGTTCTCCTGAGTTGGTCTTACCCTCGTCTTCGTCCACTCCCCCACCCAATAATGAAAGAACAGAGCTTCCTTATCACAGAGAATGTGCTGGGATTACCATCTTTGCCTACATTCCCTCCCCCTCCACTCAGCAATGATTGTAGCTCCAACAGGAGCTCTACCTTTAACTGGTCAATTAAAGCTCCAGTCAACATCACCTCTCCTTCCCAACTAAACAGCAGGGTAAGCAGGGAAGTGCCTCCCCATTTTGTGCCCCAAAATAGGAGTCCAGGAGGCTTTAAGGTGTAAAAGGTTTTAATTGTCCGCAGTTAACTTATGAACCAAATAACCCAAGAATATGTTCTGAGCCCTAATATAAACACAATAGTTATTGAGGGGATGGAGCGATGCCTAAACATAGTACCAGTCATTAAGAAACTGACAGTCCAGGGGTGCCTGGCTGGCTCAGTTGGTAGAGTATGCAACTCTTGATCTTGGGGTTGTGAGTTCAAGCCTCATGTTGACAGCAGACACTACTTAAAAATTAAATTAAATTAAATTTTTTTTAAAAAAGACACTAACAATTCAGATGGGAAAACAGGGCATACCTAGAAAGAGGAAAGACTGATAGAAAAACTACACTGGAAAGGACAGGATATATGAAAGATGGCAAATGAAGCATACTGTAGGTGTCCAAAAAAGAAACCAATTCAGTCAGGAAAGAGTACTTGGGTCAGTAGTTTTAAAAGAGGGAGGAGGGTGCCTTGCTGGCTCATTTGGTAGAATTTGTGAGTCCTGACTTGGGGGTCTTGATTTCAAGCCCCTCACTGGGCATAGAGCTTACTTTAAAAAAAATACCTTACAAAATAATAGTAAGAGGGTTAGGTAAGAAGACCATTTTAGTAGAAAGGAATGGTAGATGCCCAAAATACTGCTCTCATTTATCAAGGTAAAAATTACTAACATACATTATTAGTATCCTGTTTAAATGCAATGTGATATAACAAAGAACAGATAAAGAAATTGGTAAAAATAACATTTCACCAAGAATGCTTTAAACATAAATTATTCAGAATATAATTCTTGAGAAAAACCTCTCTTTAGAAGGTTATAGCAATAATAAAACATTTTTATAAAGATTTTGCCTAATAGGATGCCTGGGTGGCTCAGTAGGTTAAATATCTGACTTCAGCTCAGGTCATCATCTCACTGTTCATGAGTTTGAGCCCCACATCAGGCTCTGTGCTGACAGCTCAGAGCTTAGAGCCTGCTTCAGATTCAGTGTCCCCCCACTCTCTCTTTGTTCCTCCCCTATTCACACTTTGTCTCTCTTTCTCTCAAAAATAATCATTAAAAAAAATTTTAAGGGGCACCTGGGTGACTCAGTTGGTTAAGTGTCCTACTTCGGTGCAGGTCATGATCTTGTGCCTTATGGGTCCAAGCCCCGCTTCCAGCTCTGTGTTGACAACTCAGAGCCTGGAGCCTAATTCAGATTCTGTGTCTCACTCTCACTCTCTGCCCCTGCCCCATCGGTTTCTCCCTCTCTCTCGCTCAAAAATAAATAAACATTTAAAAAAAGAAATACAAGTTTTTTAACAGAGAATTAAGAAGCTCAATATGCTGATATAGAATGATAAAATACATCGATAAAAAAAACGCAAAATCATGTGGCTGGTGCACTACCATTTTATTTTTAAAAGGAGGAAAAAAGCATCCGTGTGTATTTGTACGTACAGTTCCCCCCTTATCCACACAAGATATGTTCCAAGACCCCCAGTGGATGCCTAAAATGGTGGATAGCACCGAGCTTTATACAAACTATGTTTTTTCCCTATATGTACCTATGATCGAGCTCAATTTGTAAATTTGGCACAGTAGGCGATTAACAGCAACCACTAAAGTATACCAATTATGACAGTATACTGCAAGGAAAGTTGCGCACGTAATAAACGTGGTCTTTCTCTCTCAAAACAGCCTCTGCTGTACTCACCCTTCTTGTGATGATGTGAGATGACAAAACACGCACGAAACGAGAGGAAGCGAGGTGAGTGACGCAGGCAGCGTGACGTAGCGTTAGCTGCTGCTGACCCTCTGACACTTCCTCAGGAGGATTCTTTGCTTCCAGTTACTGAAACTGCGGAAAGCAAAACCGCAGGCAAGGCGGGGACTACTGTATATATTATATACGTAATTTCACATATGTGTTGTTCTGAAAACATACGCAAGAAATGAATAATACTGTTGGCCTGTTAGAGACATAACTGGACGACTGAGGGACAGAGGTAAGAGAGAATGTTCACTAACCGCCCTTGTAGGTTTTTTAACTTGTTAAGCATAAGAATGTATACTCTACTCAGCTATTCTTTTCCAACAGATAAAAAGCAACACAGCGATAAGACTTTTGTAGACAGATGTATACTTTTTTATTTACTTCACCCAATTTGAGATGAGAAATTTAAGAATGTGTTGAGAACGGGTCCTGACTTGAGTTTTTGCTTTTGACTGAAACTTGGACACTAAATAATAGATTTCACGTTTCTCTCTTTTGATGAGTGAAAAAAGAAGTTTGTATACAGTTTGTGCTCACTCTCCTCTAAGACTGTATTTTAATGACTCACCCAGTAAACAGGAAAATACTTCCAACTCACGACTCATTTAAAACAAAACAAAATGCTCTGGTTCAGATGAAAACATTTGTATACAAGCTTCTTTTTGTTTTTTTCCTGTTTCAGTTTGAGAAGAAAAGATTCCTCTGACAATCACATTCAGACACTGCTCAGGAAAATAAAACCATAATCACATTACAGGGATTTCTCTATGAGGGAAAGTAATGGGGGGGGGGGCGCCAGAGAGGGAAGACTTTCTAGCCTTTGCTCCATAAACATACTGCCAGCATAAGATAGGTTTAGCTGCTCAGGAGTGGGAGAGTCTGATTTCCACTGGCCCATGGAGTCTGGCTGCAACCAGTAAGTGATGTTTTATGAGAAGAAAGAAAACCAATCAAAAAACTTCCCCAGCCTTGTTATAGACATTCAGAGGAGTTTAAGGAAAACTGCTTTTAAAAATTACTAAATGTGAGAGGTGCCTAGGTGGTTCAGTCAGGTAAGTGTCTGAGTCTTGATCTCAGCTCAGGTCTTGATCTCAGGGTTATGAGTTCAAGACCATGTCTTGAAAAAAAAAAACAAAAACTAAATGTGGAAAAACAATTACTAAGTGTAAATTTTGGTGAGAGATAAAAAGCTAGTAAGAAAAAATACAAATCAAAACTACAGTGAGGTATCACCTCACACCTGTCGGCTAAACTCAAAAACATAAGAAACAACAAATATTGGTGAGAATTTGAAGAAAAAGGAATCCTTGTGCACTGTTGGTAGGAATGCAAACTGGCACAGCCACTGTGGAAAACAGATGGAGGGTCCTCAAAAAATTACAAAGAGAACTACCATATGATCCAGTAATTCCACTACTGGGTATTTACCCAAAGAATATGAAAACACTATTTCAAAAAAGATATATGCACCCCTATGTTTACTGCAGCATTATTTATAACAGCCAAGATATGGAAGCAAGCCAAGTGTCCATCAAGATGAATGGTTAAAGAAGAGGTGCTGTATATAGAGAATAGAATAACATTCAGCCATAAAAAAGAATAAAATCTTGTCATTTGCACCAACATGGATGGATCTAAAGGGTAAAATGCTAAGTGAAAAAAGTCAAAGAAACACAAATACTGTATGATTTCACTCATGTAGAATTTAAGAAACGAATCAAATGAACAAAGAAAAAAGACAAACTAAAAAACAGTCTCTGAAGTATAGAGAACTGGCAGTTACCAGAGGGGAGGTGGGATGGGGGTGTGTGTGTGTGTGTGTGTGTGTGTGTGTGAAATAAGTGAAGGGGATTAAGAGTTACACTTACCATGATGAACACTGAGTAATGTATTGACTTGCTGAAGCACTACATTATACACCTGAAACTAATATAACTCTATACATTAATTATACTGGAATTCTGTTTAAAAGAAAGAAAGAAAATTGCTTTTCTTTCCTTTAAAATTACTTCCCAGTCTCCTACTTCTACCACTTAGGAGTCAGGAGGTGACTACTTATTTATTTCTTTATTCTTCAAACCCAAGTATTCTTTTTATTTTTTACCTTAATTTTATTTATTAAATTTAAGCTTCAAAATTCACAAGGCACAAAAGGGTATAAAATGAATAGTTGACTCTGTCTCCCAGCAACCAACATTATTAATTTCTTGTATGTTCTTTCAGATACATTCTATATGCAAACAAGGAAATCTTATCTACTCTTTTACACAAATGGCTATATGGAACCATGTCTTTAAATTGAAATAAAACTCAAAGCATCTTTATATAATCCTAACTCCTCATATGAACACATTACGCCTGTCTGTAAAGAGATCTCTTTTAAAAAGACAAATTTCTTTTCAATATCTCCCATTTTCAAAGTTAAGAAAGAGTTATTTGGAAGGAAAAAAAAAAGTGGGTGAGATCTAAAAAACTAAATTGCATACAATTACATGACAAATCAACTCACTGAATTTCTGGTCCAGGATTCTGATCCCTGAAAAAATTGTATAGATCTTCAAAGTTCCCACCAAGGGTAGTTTTGCAGAGGTATCATTAACACTCCATGGAAACCTGTTCCACGGTGCCCCTTCAATGAAACTGAAGAGGGAGCGAAGAGGGAAGTAGGAAGCTAAATTTGAATGTTTGGTTCTTGTGGATTAGCAACAAGGAAGTGAAGGCAGATGAAAAGAAACCAGGATTGCCTCAGATCAGTTAATCAGTAACTCACATATGCTAGCACTGGATCCTTCTGCCTTTCGGCGGGAATTGATAATTCATGGGCACCTGAATGTCTGGACAAGTGTATAAGTCCCTTGGTAAGTTCTGAAGAACCAGCCACAGAGAAAAGAGGCTGCTAGTAGGGTAAACCACAGATACTGAAGAAGAAGGAAACCCAGAGAACCTGCCAGGGTCTGATTTTCAAAGTGGAGTCCAGCATCCATTTTCTGAAACCCTCAAACTTCCCTTCCCTTGTGAGAGTCAGACATAGGGAATAAAGAAGGGCCAGGGGAGAGGTGTGCTTTTAAAGAACACTAGACCAGATGTCTGCTGGCAATGTCAACATTCAAGTCCTAGCTTAGTTGTGTTAAGTGTAGACATTCCCAAGCTTCAGTTTCTGCGTGGGTAAACCAGCCCAGCAGAGTCCAGTTTCAATTTCTCAACAGCAAAGCAGAGCTGTTTTAGAAGCACCACAACTCCAGCTTCAGTTTAGACATTTTCAGCAACCGGACCACCTGGGTGGCTCAGTTGGCTGAAGAGCCAACTCTTGATTGCAGTTCAGGTCATCATCTCTCAGTTTGTGAGACTGAGCCCCAGGTCAGGCTCTGCACTGACAGCCTGGAGTCTTCTTGGGATTCTCTCTCTCCCTCCCCCACTTGCACATACCCACTCTCCCTCTCTGTCTCTCTCTTTCTCTCTCTCAAAATAAATAATCTTTAAAAGAAAAAAAAAGAAATTTTAGCAACTATCCAAGATAATTCTGATCTCCAATTTGAAAAGCATTACAGGAAGACACCTGGTCCATTCCAGCAATAAGTCTCTCAATACTATTTCAAGAAAATAAGTGGGCAAAGGTTACATAAGATAAAACTAACATTTAAGTCTTAGGATGCCAGAAAACACATTGAAATCATGAGGGATCCTCTGAGACCCACCGCAATTTGACAACAATCCAGAAGTGATAAATAAGTGGGCCGCTTTGATGTGGAAAAGCCTCGGCAGAAGAGAAGCTAAACACCACTCACTTCTAAACAAATAGCCAACACAGTTTATAAACAAAGTCTTGACTGTTTTTTTGGAGCCAGGGCTGAATTTATAACCTCCTAAACCTCCTAAACTCCACACAGGGAATGCAGCTTCTCCACTCACCAAAGAGCTGATCAGAAACGTTTCTACCTGTCTGTACTTTGGAGAGAATAGTGGGTTTGAAAAGAAAACCAACTCAGTATTTTTCATAAACTTAGCCTTTGTTTCCCGAGTGGGAACATGATCTGATAAAACACATAGGCTGAAAGACCTAGGCTCAAATTCCAAGTCTTTGCTGGCTTAGATCTCGGGCAAGAAATGAACCTCTCTGAGCCTCATCAGGGGCATGAGAGAATTCCTGCCTCTTGATTATTGTGGGCTTTAAAGAGACACACAGGAAACGTCACGACATGTGGTCAGAACACATTAGTGTTCATTTTCTCCTTTTCTTGCAGAACTCCTTAAAATTTTTCCTAATAACCAGAAAAACTGTTCCCCATTACATTAAATCAAATGATGACAGAATTCCTGAGACCAAAATAGATACTAATTGAAAAGCTCTTTTGCATCTATGCAAACCATGTGTTCTTATGATACACACATGTGTATAACCAAATATATAATCCAAAGGTGCTCACTGTCAATTCCACTCAGTGAAATTAGATTAAATCATAGGACACTGCTGTTGATTATTTTATGTCTGCAACTATAGTGACTTCACTTCTAGAGCAAAGATTTCATATGTGCCTGCCCTTCATTTCCTGGAAATAGCAGGATCATTAAAAATCAGAAACTGGGCATTTTCATCCCAATTCTGCCATTTATTAGCCATATGACTTTAAGAAAATCACTTAGCAACCTTGGACCCTGGTTTCCTGACTAATATAATGAACATGGTAGATTCCTCTTTTTCTGCTCTGGAATTTTATGACTATAACAAGGCACAGGTGCTTAGCTTAGTGCATCCAAAATGCAGATTTGGTTAGAATGTTTTTAACTTTGCTATAGAAGTTCTCCCGGTTGTCCCCCCTGCACCCACCCTGTCCTCTTCTCCTTTGAAGCACAGAAAACAGAGGTCCTGATGATAATAACACAAAGCTGTGTAAACTTTTTCATGGGCTTTTAAAATGCACTTCTAATTTGCTACACCGTACCATAGCAGTACTGGATTTCTCCTTAAACAAAAATGGTCACGGGTGTCAAAGAGATGTGAGTGAGTGTCCACTGAACTGTGTCTAAATGATTTTCCTTGTGAGCAAAGCCAGAATGGAATAAGCCCCTACTAGTGAGAAGAGAAAACATGCTTCCCAGGCTGAGGAGGCATTGTTCAAAGTAATGAGTTCTGCACCACTTGGTCCACACTTCACAGCGGAGTCTGATTTTCGTAGACAAAGAGCAATAACCAAATGGGGATGCTCTTCAGCAAGATTCTCTGAACTGAATATTGTTATTAAACTCACAGAGTGGTGGGAAAAAAAAAGTAGACAACAGTCTCCCTAACCTTCTACATTCTCCGAAAGAGGAAGGGTTTGTCAACCTGGGTCAGTATTATGCCAGGGGCTTGTCATAGCTATAATGGATTTTGAGTCTAAACTCACTAAAAATGCCTACAATTATTCCAGCTCAAAAGTCTAAGTGTTTAAATGCTCTACTGTTTCCTTTTATCCTTCTATCATAATTTTACATCTTTTTTTTTCCCAGAGAAATAATAGTTATGATCCTTGAAGCGTGCAGACCAACACTATTCTTAGAAGGGAGCTGCAGGAGGTTTATTATGTCATGAAACATGGAGCCAGAACAAAGGACTACTGAATCACTCACCTTATCTTCATCTAAGAAACCTGAGAATTACAGGGCTTCTCTGTTCCTCCCAAACTCAGCACTGCACTTGTGAAGACAGTAAGTTTTAGGGCCCAATCTATACTACAAAAATGTAAAAAAAAAAAAAAAAAAAAAAAAAAAAAAAAAAAAAAAAACACACGATGCTTCTCACAATATATTTATCTAAAATACTTAGAAACAACGTTCAGATATACTTTAAATCAAAGTTTAAGCATTTGTTTCTGAATCCANCACTCACCTTATCTTCATCTAAGAAACCTGAGAATTACAGGGCTTCTCTGTTCCTCCCAAACTCAGCACTGCACTTGTGAAGACAGTAAGTTTTAAAAAAAAAAAAAAAAAAAAAAAAAAAAAAAAAAAAAAAAAAAAAAAAAAAAAAAAAAGAAACAGATGCACACGATGCTTCTCACAATATATTTATCTAAAATACTTAGAAACAACGTTCAGATATACTTTAAATCAAAGTTTAAGCATTTGTTTCTGAATCCAGACATATGATTGCTCAGCGCTAAATCAACTGTTCTCCCTAAGAATACTATAAGTATTTACTCTGAAAACCTGAAATAGCATCCGAATTATTTCAGAACTCAACTCTGAGTTTATTGAAGGCAGGAATCTGAATTGATTTATATGCCTTACATTATAGTGTTCAATAAATATCTGCTGACTCAATGAATAAATTAATTAGAAAATATTTAACTAAGACTTTCCCCAGTATATTACATTAGGGCACTTTAACATAAAGCACCAATATTTTATTTTTATAATTCTTTCCTTATAATTATTTAGAAGACTGATTCTAAAAATAAGTTTAATTGATATTGATGACGTAAGAAAATGTATCAAACAGAAGCAGTAACTTTAACAGCTTTTATGCAGAATCTGGTGCAGCAATAAATCCTGGCTCAGCCCACCAACCTTCCCTCCCTTTGTCTCCTTCCCAATGCCTGTCCCCAGCCTTCCCCAAGCACTTGCAATCTCATTATCCCATGATCTGCTAAACTGCAGTTTACCTCCTGGTACAAGCAGGAACACATGTCACTGAGAATTAGGGAATTGGAGCCAGTTACGAACCACCAAAGAGGGTCACCAAAGTATCTGAACCTGAACATTAAGAGTTTTTCTATTTTTTTAACTATGAGGAAGGGGGGGAAACCTTAATTGGACAGTTTTTACCATTTGAGGTAGATGGATTGCGTAACGTCTAGGCATTTATAATGAATGGGATGGGAGAGATAACTTTAACAGCATGTTATTTGCTAATCATCTGGAAAGTAATACTATGTTGACTTCATTTGCTGATGGTGGAAGGATATTGTCGGAAAACTTCTACCACTAATAAACATTTGCTATTCTTGAAGGCAAGTTGTTTAAAAGTAGGATACAGCAAGACCATACCCGTAGGACTTCGTCTAAAGTATTTTTATGCCACACTTTATTCAAAAAGACTTATTCCATTTTAAATTTTTATCAGTTATTTTGCTTTAACCAATGTTTATTTAATACCAAGTAGGCATATTAATGCTGCTGCTAAGTATTGATGCAGCCCAGAAAAATGAGCAACAAGATGCAGGTCCTCAAGATGTGTACCCTTGCCAAATGCTAACCTGTGTGTAAACAAATGGGATTTCTTAAAAGGAGAGGAGCTGTCGAGACTCACAGTTTCATGAAAAGGAAAATGACATTCTTAACGGAAGCCTAGAGAAATCTGACTGGTTCCCATCAAGGCTTCTTGAAACATTCCCTGCAGAAGATTAACCCCAGAAGTGACCAAAACTGACGGGCAACTGGAAAAACAATCATCCCTTCTGGGAAAGCTTTTGTATCTTTTCAATGGCATTTTGGAGCTCATCTCCTTCTCATAACATGCCGTAAGGACACAGGTGCTGGGGTTTGCACGCACCGCACCAGCCACCTGGGCAGAGGCCCAAGACTGTAACCTTACTGCTCAAGAGCAAGCGTCTGATTGAAATTTTTTAGTGCCTCACCACCAAGGAAATATATTTTATTTAGTGGGGGGAATATCTCAGTTACTGCCCCAATGATCAAAATGGTAATACGAAACGGCGGGGAGGTGGGGGGACAGTCTTCTATTTCAGTTTATTTGGTTATTGTTTTAATGCTGGACTGCTAGCGTAAAAATGAGATCATAAACTCATTCCGAGTTACAAACAAAGAAAAGGAAGAGGAGAGAAGGGGCCGCAGACGCTCAACAGGGGACTGGGCTCAGGGGCGAGCCTGGTGGCATCTCGGGCTGGCGGTGCCGTCGCCATGGGAACCCCGCGCAGGCGCAGAGGGCGACGCCGCGCGAAGAGGACTTGCCTCCACCTCCCCGCGCGGCGTCGCTCCGCTGCCCTCGTTTATTCCAAGAAAGGGTAATGGAGTAAATCCTCCTCGCGCTGAGTGTACCCGGTCTTCTACGAAAGGGTCCTGAACGGGGTCACCGAGCGCAGGAAGAGCCGTGAGACAGCTCCCATAATGGACAGCGTACTCTTTCTGGGAAACGCAGACCTGCTTTCTCCGCGGTGTCGGGAGATCAGAGAAGGGTTCTGGGGACCCCGCGTGTGGGTGAAGCATCCTGCAGCAAAGCTTCGCCCTCCAACGGACGAAACCCCATCCACCACCACAGGCGACTCGAGAATTAAATTCTGGCGCGGGCACACGCACACCCACGTCGTCTGAATTACGCGCGCGCGCGCGCACACACACATACACACACACACACAGCCCCCTCTAAGACTAGCCGTGGTCCAGTTCTCTGCGCTGGGGGTTTGGGGGATCCCCACGCACAATACTCACAGTCCTAAAGAGCGCGTCCCGGCCGGGACTGGGGAGAGGAATTTGAGCCACCTGCTCATTTGCACACCTGGTCTGGTATACCAGTCCTCTTTCTCTTTCTGACTAGCTACCCTCAAAGCACTGACCTGCTCAACTTTTGAGTGTTCGGCAGTTGAAGGATTCCTGGGAGTCCTTGGCACAGGAGCAACCTCCAAAGTGCTTGGGTGATGAATTGTGAGCCCCTGTGACTTTAACTCCAAATCCCCGTCGAGGGACAGAAAAGCCCCCCAGAAGCGCACTTCTGCCCACCAGCCAACAGAAACCTCCGAGACGCGCAGGGGAGAGCGGGGCGCCGCCGCCACAACCTGCTTTCTCATTCAAATCCTTACGCTTACCCTGGAGCCCCCCCTCCCCCCCCATCCCAGCTCCGCAGCTCCCGAGGAAATCAGGAACTGGAGCTGGAGAGAGTGGACTGGAGCTCCCACCGCCTCCAAGGGCTCCAGCCGGCCGGGGGTTAGGGGTAGAGGTCTGGACCTGGACCCCCGGGCGCATGCGCCCTTACGGGGCTCTCTGGGGGCAAGAGCCAGAAGCACTGGGAATAAAGTCTTCTTTTTTTACCCGTAAGTTTCAAAATTTCCCAAGCCCAGGGACACCTCCTTGATACTTAGTTTGGAGCTGTATTCCTAAGAGCTTCGGTGGTTGTAAGATAAAGGAGTTTGGGGAAACGAAGTTGGAAGTGAGGAAAACAGAGTGGGAACCATTTGCAGCTTGCACCAAAGTAAAAAAGTCCCAGGACCACACCTTAAAGAAATTCTAAACCACCCATTTTATGTCAGCTTCTCTCATTCTAAGAAAATAGCATTTATTATGCTGTTATAACCAAGAAATCTACCTTGAGTAAAGTGCAACTAAGACGGAGGGAGTATAGGTTACACTCTGCATTTACTCCCCCTGCCAACTGTCTCGTCTTCAGATGTTTCTCCTAAACGTTAACGGGACAATTATTCAATCGGGTCAATTTAGTGGCTGGCCAACTCCAGGGCCAACCATCAGTGAGTTTAGAGCATGGCCAGGGCAGAGGAAAGCTTGCACACAGTAGGTACTCAAATCGTGATGCAAATGATGAAATCTACTGAGCGCAAAGACACGGTGATTGATCCGGTTGGTGTGGCTCCTGGAACGCTGGCTATTGCTAGCCTCGGCAGGCACGGAGTGATCCGGTCTCTGGATTCCAGGATTTGCATTTATCAGCCTTCATTCAACCTGCCCTATTGTTAGTTCAAAGCCTGGCTGGGAGGGACTTCGAGACTCTGCTCCTCACCTTCAGTTTAAAATTCTCCACCAATAAGAAGGTCCTAGAAAAGCTGGCAGCATAGGGTTGGCAGGGATTTTCTGGGCTTAGTGACAACGTAAACTAAAGTCATTTTCTTTTTCATGCGTGAATTTGCTCAGGAAGTTACAAATGAGTGCTCGAGCTTGGAGAGCAGGGCCAGGCTGTCCGTCCGCTTTGACGGACAGTTAGCGTGGGGGGTGGTAGCACCATGACCTCTCAGCGCATGATCTAGGGTTTCACCTTTTCATCCCACTTAGCCGATACCATAGAAACAACCCATTTGTATTATTCAATTCAACAGAGGCAATTACAATGTTACAGCAAAGCACCATGGGCATGAAGAAACTTTATCCTGAATGCAATCTTGGACTCAAAAAAAAAAAAAAGGAAAAAGCCACTAGAATAATCACTCGAATTTCTTCATGTCAGGGTACCAGGAAAAATGCAATTTGGATAAACATATACAAGGTCTTTTGGCTCCAAAGAAAGAAACCTCCCAATTTTTTTAATATGTCTATATAAAAACCCTCAATTTATAAGAAATTAAACAGGTAGCTCTTGTGCCCCCAAACTGCTTCTTGTTTTGCATGCAAACATGTGCTATTTAGAGATTTGTTTTGCTGGTAATCTCCATGGTGAACAGGAAGTCCAGAATGAAAGAATGAGAGACACACATACACACACACGTGCACACACACCAAGACAACCCTTCACACAACCATGAAAGTTATCCACTCCAAACTTCCTGTGTTTGTCTTTCTCGTAGCTGAAAACCCACAGATGCACGCATTAAATTAAGCTGAGACACAAAGTTCAAAACACAAGCACCTGTTTGATTATGTAGTCTTTATTTTGAACATTTTAATCAATGTCCGTAATTTCATGAACTTAAAAACTTTTTAACTGTGCAATATTTCAAACCTACTAAAATCAAGGCAAATACCCATATAATACTCCCGCTCCTTTAC